TCGCATATTTTTATTGCGCGCGCGTATGTTTATAAAGCAACATAAATATGTAACGACCTCATAAATATTCCGACCGGAATATCATACGAAATCAAATAAAACTCTCCAGGCTCCCTAATAAAATACCCAAAATAACCGAAAAGAATTATACGGAATGTTAATGTTGAAGTTACGGCCGCGTTCCTTCTCCCGAATGCGGTATGTTGTTTATAGTCCTTGTGTTTTACGGTTGCTCTTCTTTTCCTGGTCATATCTCTGATATGAGCATATGGCATTACTGATAATGTCGCAATGTGCCGGATTTTTCTGCAAATTTGAAATTATAAAGGGACGTATATCATGTCTTGTTGACACAAAGTAGCAGGTAAACGACAGGTAAAAACTTCGGTGATATATCTTCAGTTATTTTCATATAAAAAAGGTACAGGCGGGTATTATGATTGTTTAGTTTTGAATGTTGAATTATATTACTTTACGTAGGTTACATTGGTTGATATTCTGTCGCATTGGAATGAAATGATGCAAAGTTTTATTCAAAGCTCCTAATTCAAAAATAATTATCAGAAAACAGAAATTATCTAAAAAATTATGAGTAATTAATTATCTTTGGGTTGTTGAATATTGGGCTATAATTTTGATAAAATGATCATTCAATTAACCAGTTAACTGTGATGCCCACATCGAACAGTGTGCACAGTTTGTTATCGTCCGAAACGAGCTGATGAAGAGTATATTCGTCAATCACAGAGTAAGTTGCAATGATAAGATTTCGCATAAGAATATAGGTATATTTTCCCAAATGTTGGTACTACCTTTGAGTTCTTTTTCAACCTAAACATACATTATATACGTCTTAAACAAAAACGGAATAAATTCAATAAAATATTATGTGTACATGTACAATGTACAAAAGAACAAGTTTTTAAAAGGCAAAAAAACCTTTTTCAAAATAAGCAAACCTTATACAAAAATAAAAATATGACATATAATTTGTCTATGTTCCATGTTATCGGAAGGATTACGCTTGCCCCATTATTATTACCATTTTTTAACTTCCCGTAGAGCAAGTTATAGTAATCGCAAAAAATAGAAACTGAAGATTTTTATGTATCTATACATTTCAAAGGTTTCTGAACATTTTGGCATACCTTAGATAAAATGGATGTGTGTGTGTGTGCGGATACAAATTTTCGTCGACGATTTCGGGAACACTGATCAACAGATGTGAATAATTCAAAAAGCATATAATTCGTATTGATAAGGAGAAGTGTTGATTAGTTTATGCCAAAGACAGGTCTAACCGTTCCTAAGATACGGGGCAAAAGTACCAAAAACGGTAACTCAATGTTTGAGAGAGTGGAGCGTCAGATTTTAATAATTCAACAACAATTTACTTGTATTGACAAGATGAAAAACTGATTTTTGGAAAGGCATGTCCAGCGGTTTTAGAGATCTAGTAAAAAAAGAAAAAAATAGTGCAATTTGGCGGTGAAAAATGTTCATTGGACATATACACATCAAATTGTCAGATACATTTTGGAGATTTTAATAATATGTATCAATTTTGTTTACATTTCTATGGGTTCCGTAACATCGTTTGTCCTATGGACGGCGACGCGGCGTTTACGCGCTTCGATATGCAGTGCGATTTATTTATATGCAACTAAAGCAGTGCCGATTGCTTCGAAAAAAAGATCAAAATTTCCAAAAAAAACATTTTTTTTAAGTTTTTTTTTCCACAATAGGTCATTTTTTTCGAAAATGTAAAATTTATTAAAAATCTATTAATTCTAAAATTTAAAATAATCTTTTTTAAAAAAATTAATTTTCGGTAAGGAAAATTCTAGCAATCTGCCTCAAGACATGAAGCCATACACTACTAGTTTCAAAAATAATTAACACAAAACGAAAGTTATCTCCAAAAATCATGTGAGCAATTTATCATTAACTATTGCAAATTGAGGTACATTTTCAATAAAGTAATTATTTACCAATTAACTGTGGCGCTCACATCGAACAGTGTGCACAGTTTTCTGTCCGATTCGATAAAAAATATAGGTTTATTTCACAATATTCAAGAATTTAATCTTTAATTAATTTTAATTAACGACGAATTGCTTTTAATTAACGTTTTTGTATCATTTTTCTTTTGGTCCATTTTTGGGTGCAAACGACTGCACATTACATGCTTAACCAATCAAATATTTTCTATGATATAGTTCAGCTTAGTAGTTCAAGGAGTCTAATTTCCTAATTATTAGGGGTCCTTTTAATGCATTACAATAAGAGGTTATTTGTTACTTCTAAATTGTGCATTAGGTTTTATTATTTTTGTCCTGTATGAAAGTATCAAAATATATCTATATAAATCTATTAGGCCAGCAAACTGGAATTTTATAGTTTTACTGAGCCTTAGGCGTTAACAAACTATCAAAACCAAACAATTGACTAACAACGTGAACACTATCATAGTTTTTATTATGATTACATTAATAAATTTAATACTATTTCAAATAATTAGTACATATTTGCAATTGGAAACCGATTTCTCTGTGTGGAATGGAATTAATATATCGCAGATAATCAGAGTGAGTATGAGCTGACCACATGAGTGGTTTGAAGACAAACATTGTGAAATACCAAGATCGGATAATAGATATCAAACGGATAATGTGGTTTCAACATTGTGGCTTACATAGGATAAAGTTGATCTAATTACGATAATCTTAACTTTAATTCCTACTTGCTATATACTGATTATACATTGCTACAGTTTTTGTTCTACAATTGATGAATTTATTATGAAAACATATTTGTGAATCAAACTTTGTGAAGAATAAGGTGTTTTATTTAATTATTAACGTTGTTCGTAGAGCTATAAATGCATTATTGCGATACTGAAGTGAGAAATTCTACTTTTGTTTCTATATATTCACTTATTTGAAGTGAATTTAGCCATTGAAGTTAAAGAGCGTTCGTATAGTTTGATGTGAAAAATTAATTATGTATATAGTACTTTGTAAATAATCCAAGTTTTGCTTCAATGAATTTATTGACTTAACTATCGCCGTCCTATTAAAATAAAACTAAATAAAGTGATTTGAATTTTATACTTATTCTTATAGGAAACGAAAAATTATAATTATTTTTGTTATTATTATTTTTAAATAAGATCGATATGCATTAACCTGATAGTTCATATTTTTGTACTAAATTTTACTTAAGAAAATATGTTGGTTAATTTTTAGACTTTCATTATGCTATATAGAGAGAATTTCCTAAAAATTTGTAGGTAAATTTATAGTACAAATAAGCTCATGTATACATTCTATAAAAATATATGTAGTTTCGATTTACACATATTGATATTTGGCTATATTATGTTAGTATGTGCAGTGCTTCGTGTTTGAATGATATAGTGTGTATATATTACTAGACAATTGAACAAATTAATTTTCAGCGACTGCATAACCTGATATTTCATTACTCATTTAACTTTGAACATTTGTTCCTTATATTGATAATAAATTACCACATTATACATCTATGACTCAATTTATATTTCAATCACGTTCATTCAGCATGATTGAAATATGAATTAATTTCTCGCATTGGTGATTAATATGTAATTTTATAAATGCCATTTTCAATCAAATTTATAGAATATTATACATCTACACATATATATTACTCCCAGGCCTGCATACGATTAATCGAAATTTTTCGAAACTAGAATGATAGAAAAAGATTATTTTAATCAGAGTTTTTAAAATATATAATAAATTTTCATATTATATTATTTTGGTTATTTTGAATCATTTAGGCAAGAAAAGTCTTTTCATAGAATTTTTCTCACTGAATCACATAATTTTTATGTCGAACTATGATAACTATAATATACGCACAGAAGCTATATAACATATTCACTGTTTTTAAGAACTACTCAAAACAAATATAATCAGAAAGAACAATCATAATTCTTTTTTGCATATGATCATAATAAACAAAATAATTGCTCAACTAAAGTTGAAACTCAATGATACTTTTTAAATTCCTGAAAGGTAAGTTATAGTAATCACAAAAAGAAAATTGAAAACTTTTTCATATATTCACGTTCCAAAAATATCAGAACATTTTGGCATACCTTAAAAAAATTAATGTATGTGTGTGTATGTATGTATGTTTGGATACAATTTTTTGTCGATGATTTTGTGAACACGGATCCACCGATTCCAGTAAATTAAAAGACATTCGATTTTAATTGAAGGGGTGACGAACATCAAATTATCAGATATATAAAGATTTTAACAAAAGTACAAATTTTGTTTACATTTTTATTGGTTCTATATCATTGTTTATCCGTTAGAGTGCGACAGAAGTTTTAAAATTTGAAAAAAAACCCAATTTTTGAAGTCATTTTTTAAAGACCTAAAAATAAAAACTATTAATGCGGTGATAAAAGAAAGCAGCAAAAAATATCACGAAAAACTACTAGGTCGCCCAAACATATATTTAAAAGAGTTAAGCGAGGAAAATCCCACACGAAGATTGAAAAAAAATGGTCATACGATCTTAAATAAAATGTCAAAAATAAAAAAGAGAGATATCTCATAGGAGATAATTTCTTAAATGCATTAATACCAACATCATATTGTCTTAAAAAATGTATATTATTTTGATTGGCAATAAAACTATGCAAAATTTTTTTTTTCAAATATTTTAAACATCACAAATATATATTTTTTCTAAATTAAAAAAAATTGAATCATTTTCAAAAAAAAATATTTTTGGTACGTAAATTTCCAGAAATTTGCCATAAGGCACAATGCCATGCACCACTGATTCAATAATGTAGTTGTAAATAATAATCGACTATACAAATGACAAAGTGAAATAAATATTTTAATTTTAATACCGTTTCATTATACATTTAATTTTATTATTTCATCCCAACTCCAAAGGATGTATAACGCTGAATCTAATTCTTTTTTTTTCCACAGGACATAAACTACGATTCGCCCCGCGGCGGCGTGTCGGTGATAACAGAAAAAGGCGACATAACGACGTCGTACTTGCTGATACAGCGCGCCCGCGGCCCAGACTCCGGCAAGTACACATGCAACCCGTCCAATGCGAACCCGCAGACCGTAATGGTGCACGTTCTCAATGGTGAGCGATTATTCTTGAATACGACTTACACATTATATATACTATATATACATATATATATATATATATATATATATATATATATATATACGAGGTCTGTTCAAAAAGTACCCGGAATTTTCGTTTTTTCAAAAAAATATTTATTTATTCGTCTACATTAATGTGGTCCCCTTCAAAGTAGTCCCCCCCCAGATATAATACACTTATGCCAGCGTTTTTTCCAATTTTCGAAGCACCCTTGATATTCACTTTTTGATATGTCCTTGAGCACTCTCAGCGATTTTCTTCAATCGAGGAAAACCGCCGTCCTTTCATGGGTCTCTTCAACTTTGGGAATAGGAAAAAGTCACACGGAGCCATATCTGGTGAATTTTTGCACTTTGCAACACTTTATTTCATTTTTTACGCAAAATTTAATACAAATTCTTTGACTTTTCAATTCTTCCATTGTAAAAATCGCCGAGCTCAGAAAAACACGTCGAACCTTAGCGACTACCACAGACAAAGTAAACAGTGAATATAGCTGAAAATTCCATCATACTTTAGGGGCATGTATACCAACACAATAAAAAAAAATTTTGACAATCAGACACTCCAGACCCGCGAAATTTAATTATTAGTAATTCCGGGTACTTTTTGAACACACCTATATATATATATATATATAGTGTGTGTGTGTGTGTGTTGAAAGTTTTGTCGACGTTGATACATATTTGAAGTATTTTGCAGCCTAATCGTCGAATTAACAGAACAATAAACCAATTTTTTATTAATTTTAGTTTTTTCTTCTCATTAATTATCTATTAATTATGTTGTTCTTTAGCACAATTTCAGTGTTTTTATTAAATTTTATATTTTTTGGTTTTTCTGGTTTTTCTGGTTTGGTATGAATATAATTTTTTCCCTCTTTTTACATTTTATATTTTTATATTTATTATCTAATGCTGTTATTATGTAATGTTGTTTAGATTACTGAATTTCACATAATAAGTGTCGAAACGTTAATTTTTATTAATTAATAAAAAAAATTCCATTTAATTCGACTATTGGTCTTCAAAATACTTCAAAAATATTGTAAAGAAACTAGGGGCTTGATGCAACAGTTTCCTTCAATTTATATATCATGATCTTCTATTTATATTCTTCTACATAATATAAATGGATAGTTGCAACTATTTCTATACAAAATCAAAAATAATTCCTTAACGGCTGTCCATTACTTCACAATTATATATGGTAATTCCTTGAAAAAGTGCATTGTTACAAATACCCCGTGTTTAGGGTAATTGTAACAATGCGCTCTCATAAATCAACTCTGATAAATTATTATTTACTCATTTTTAAGAATATTGACATGTTTCTGAAACAAGTTCTTAACAAAAATAATAATAAAAGATTTCAAAGAAATTCTTGACAACAATCGTATTTACAAACTTTGACTGAAACTATATCTAATATAAATAAAATATATATTGTCTAAAATAAAATCAACGTAAACCACAATTCTTATAATACAAATAAGAGTATAGTGTCCTCCGTAACACAATTTACAAGTGTCCACATTTTACAAACTATAAGTACAATTCAATCACTTTTACTTGAATCTGTATTCAGTTCTTGTATGTTTTATCTAGCCCCAAGGTTTATTTCAATTAACCCCAGGTTTGATTTTAGGCCCAATAAACAAATATTATAATTATATATAAATATATATATATAATTTAAAATTAGTCGATAAATATAACGAAATTTTTTAATACAGTTTTTATTACTTGGCAAAATTAACGCATCTACGCAATTATTAAAGAGTTCTTTACCTTAATTATATTCGCAACATCGATACCCTTTACATTTTTACACTTTGAAAACAAACTGATGTGATTTGTAAATAACGATCATATTCTAACTACTTGCATATATAATTAAATTTGTTCATTAAAATAATATGAGTAACTCTTGCGCGATAGTTTTTTAATATGTGCCTAGTATCGCTACTTATAAATTTAAAATATAACATAACAATTATTAAAACTTTACTTATAAAGGAGCACCTCACGAATATCACATTTACATACAGGTAGGATCTTACTTTTAATTCGTATTAAAACGGAAAAATGTGCAATAATCAGTTTCTTTGTGTATTGAGAGACAAATTCGTAATAAGAAAATATTAGAAAGAATATTTAGTAAAAAAAAATCTAATATGCACGCACATGCGATGCCTACTTAAAACATATAATTTAGTAATCTTAAATATATTTAAAACGGACTTTTAACCAAATTTTTAAAATGAAAGATTTCGAAAGAAATCTTAACAATTATAATCACTTTGTTGACCTTCGGGACAGTCATGTCTAATGTCATGACAATATAATGTAGGATGGTCTAATGGAGACAAAAAAGTATTTTAATATTTCACATTCTATTGAAAAACGTCTGTTACTACAGATAGCCCCTAGTTCTACATACTGCATAACGGTTCGCGTGAAGACTACATATTTTAGAGAAATTTTTCATAATTTGTGCATATATGCATTGGTGTTTATAAAAATATATATTAAACATACCATGTCTATAAATTAATTTATAAATATCACATTATGATGTTTTAATTTGACGCATTCCGTTGAAATTCTACTAATTTCAACATATCTATTCCAAGTTTCGGAAATAAAATTCATTTTATCCTTACGGTTGTGAATGGACATAATTTGTTCTGGATTTTTCGAATAAGTACACACAGAACCATAAGTCGCAGAAAAACCACTTGACCTATTGTCGCACAAAACTTATCGACCAAATTCTCAATTGAGTTTCAAAATCACTTCGCTCTAACTTTTTAAGACAAAAGATTCTGAGACCATTATTACACAAAAAGCAATCCTTTATAGTTTTAGTCATTTATGTATATATAAGTAAAATATCTATGTAGAAGTGTAATAAATAATACATGGCAATTTTGCATTCAAATTATGTATTCCTTCATCCCGCTGCGAAATAATTTAAAAGTACGCCGAAGAGATTGCTGCAAAATTCAGCTTGCCGAGTCTCTCTGCGCTTTAATTAATCCATTTAATATTTTTAAATAAATCTCGGCAGCTGCAGTATTTGAAGCACCATTCTTGCAGAGTTGCATTCATCGTAGAAAATCAGATTATAATTGCACAGATTAAGTCGTTCCTTGTTATCTATCGTTGCTCTGTACTATGTTTATTCTGAGGTTTGAGTTTAGGGATAATTTTAAAGCTAAGTATGCTCAAGTTAACGCAATATTAAATAGGTTCAATGAAAGTATGCTTCAAATCAAGACTATTTTATAATAATATCCTGATATTAGAACTAAAAATTGAAGAATAAATAAAATAATATATAGATGCAATACCCACGATACTGTGAACAGTAATTATAAAAAAGCGAAATATTTGAATATGTATTACTACATTATTATATGAACATTTGATATTATTCACCATATTATTTATGAATTCATTAAATTTTATTAATAACAAAATAGTTATTTTATGATAATAGAATTTAATTGCTACAGTTCGTGTGATAGGCAAAAAGTACAAGATCGCTCCACCGTATGTTGGAATATGATTAAGCGATTCATTTTTTTTCAGTTATTTTGAGAAAAAGTCTAAAAAACTCGATTAGAATTCCAAATAAGAAAATGTATATTATTAATATATTAACTAAGATTAAGATATCATTTACATAATTAATTATTGTACGTATTTATTCTTTTACTTTTTTAGTCGTTATAATAAAATTTCCCAAATTTAAATAATTTATTGTAGTCTTCTTGTAATTTCTTGTAGAGAGAAAATATATAAGTTTAAACCCTATGATTTAGTGTGAATCCATTTAATTTTTCCATAAATATATTTGAATTTTATTGCGGTATAATTAGTAAAGCAAACTTTTACTAAGGCTATTATTAATTATGTCAAATTTAGTAAATACTGATATAAATGCAATTAAGCTATTGATATTCTCATAAAATTCAATAAAATATGCACATGTTGATAGTTCAGCTTTCTTCAAGGCTACATAATTATGTTCTACGCGACATATTATTATAAAATCGCGTATAAACTGTGTACAATATTAATGTATGCCTTTTCGTTTGTGTACTTATTCATTCAGTTTCCTTTAGCGTTATAATAAAATTTTCCAGGCAGAACTCGAAATAGAGAAACGTGAGTCTTCTGTGTGCGACTAATGTCGTTACTTTGTTACCTTGTATTTGCTCTCTGCTATGCATAACCGGAATAGACGAAGATGGAAATGTATTTTGCTCTGTGAGGTCTTTGTTGACATAAACTCCATCTGTCTCTACAACATTGTAGTCAAATGAAATGCATATAATTGCTTCAAATTCCGAGTAGTGGAATTTAGAGTGGTCGTTTTGGAGTTTTTGGTAAAAAAAACTATTTCACTATTTGTAGGAGGTAATACTAGTCGTTATATGTGCATCACAAGTGTACAGTTTATGAATAAAATTACTTGTCCAAAACAAAACTTAGGATGCATTGGTTCAATTATATTTTTTTTGATATTCTTATCAGGCTTTATAGAAATGTCTTATTGGATTGCAAAGGTCTTTAATAAATTACGATTATATATAAATTATCGCAGACTATATAGCGAAATCTAACTCAGCTTAAGGTAAAATATGATTAAAGTCGTAAACAATATAGTTCATCTACTATCTGTTTTACATGCTGGCCTAGTTCACAGCTAGCGTACATATCTTGTGAATAAGCATATTGAATTATTTCTTAGTTTTTTTTATATAAAATAAATACAATCACTTTCTATTTCACTCGATGTTCAAAGGCAGACTAAGACTAATAAGTATTTTTAATATTTGTTTAGACTTCTTCAGATTACTTAGCTTCAGCACAATGATAATTAATGATATTAAACAACGGGACTATCTTTGTTTTGTAAAACTTGGCGTATGGTAACATTTTTGCAGTATTTGCACATACTTT